CGTCTGAGTCGCCCCCTTTCCCTACACCCTCCTCAAGCCTGTCAGCGAGAGAGAAGCCTCGCAGCGTCGCAATCGAATCGAAGGAAAGCTCCTTCTCTTTGATCCTTCCCCCGTCGCGGGGGGAGGTCTGGGGGGGGTCACATACGCATCATCCCCCCCGAGGGCCTGGGACTGCAAAAAGTACCGAAACGAGGCAAGAGTGCCCCAAGAGGCCCCTGGGACGGTCCACCCCCAATCGCCAAACGATCGGCCCAAAACGCTGTCACGCTCCCTGAAGGCACTCCCAAGAGGGTTCCAAGAGGGCTCCAAGAGGGAAAAATCATTGATTCCCTGAGGCGTTCTCGCCTGCTCCGCTTCCCGCCGCTCCAAGAAGGCCGAAGAGGCCCTCAAGATCGTCTCAACACGGCCCAAGATGATGGGCCTGTGTTCCACCACCACCACCATAAGTTGGAGGGGGAGGGGATCCTCCTCCGCCTCCTCCTCCTCGTCCTCCACCTCCTTCCCCCTCCAACTCATGGTGGTGGTGATGGTGGAAAACAGGGCCATCACAAGAGGCTTTCAAGAGCGCTCCAAAACATCTCAGGAGAATCCCAAGACAGCCCGAAACGCCTACAAGACGGCCCAAGAGGCCCCCAAGACGGCTCCAGCGTGCCTTGACGGGGAACCCGAACGGGCATTTCGAGCCAACGGCCTCGAGAAGCTCCCACGAGGCCCCAAGAGGTTCCCAAGAGGCCCCAAGAAGCCCACAAAAGGCCCCCAGGACACCCGAAAAGGCTCTCAAGAGGCCCCAAAGAGGCTCCCAAGAGACCCAAAAATTCCTCCCCAGAGGCCCCAGAGAGCCTTCCCAAGAGACCCCAAGAAGCATCCCTGAGGACTCGGGCCCACGTCAGCGTCGTCGTCGTCACCGCCGCCTCCACCGCCATCGTCGACGTCCCCCTTCAGGGTCGGCGGCACCGGCCGTAAGGCCTTCGCAATAATGCCACGCTCCCCCGATTAGGGCAGCTCCCGTGGGCATCGTTCCTGGCTGGGTTGGTGGGAATACTTGTTTGGTACGCGGGCGCGCGAAGCAAGTCGAACGCCGAGCACGCTAGGGCGGGCCGCGACGTAACGAAGGAAAAAACAGCGAAGCAAACTACGCGCCACAGAGCGGAGCAGAGCGAAGCGCAGCCAAAATGGCGCGGGAGGCAGCGCACAGGTGTTGGTGGGATTTGCTTGGTCGCAGCCGCAGGCGAAGGAGCCAGCAACGAACCTAATTGCCGGTGCGCGCGCGCAGAAGAAAGCAGGACTTATCGCCGGAAGAAGCAGCTGCGCCGGGGGCCGTGCTGCAACCGCCGAGGCTGAGAAACAGCGCCGAGGGTGGGGACTGAAAGCTGCTGGGGCTGCCAGGAAGCTGCAAACGTGCGGGTACCATGGGAGCTGGATCACCAGGTACGTGAATTGGACCTTGTCGCCACAGGGCGCCAGAGGTCGGTGCGCCACAGACGTGGCGAAGCGCGGGACCGCGTGACAGCCCAGCGAGTGGCAGCGGACCGACGGGGGACGCGCAAGCTCGACCAAGAAGGCTGAACAGCTCCTGCGTGAACCGTTTTTTTCGCTGCGTTGAGATTTCACATTCCTGCTACGCTGTTGCACAGGCACAGTGGCGGGGTTTGCCGCAGGCAGCTGGATACCGGGGATCACTCGCGGCCTTACCCTTATTTTGTTCATCAGGGCTTTATCCGAACGAAAGCAATACCAAGGAGTTCAACAAGACGATCCTCTGGCTTACCTGTGCATTCTATGTTTAGCCTAAACATAATCGGCGTATGCAGTGCAGACTTTCTGCTGGGGCATTGCGGGAGGTGGTCGTCTTGCCCTTTTCCCTGGCGCGCCCCCGGAAAAGGCCAGTGCGCCAGCGAAGAACCCTACCCGGAGCCTCCTCCCCCCCCTCCAATCACAACTGCTTCCAAGCCCGCTAGCAAGCCCCACGAGGCACCCAATAGGCACCCACGCTGCCCCAAAGGCCTCTGGTCTACAACCCAGTGCCGCGAAGGCTGCAGATCAAAGAGTACGGTCACGGAGCGCGCGGTACAAAACGACAAGCGTACACGAGGGCAGCGGAAACGCGCGTGTATACAGTAGGAGCTCGACCACAAGAAACATTATACAAGAGACCCAACCCTGAGACCCCAGGACGTCCATTGGTTTTTGGTGTGGGAGCGTCACGCTTTCCATGGCAAAACAATCGAAACCCAAGAAACCCAGGGCACCCGGGAGACAAGCAAGGTGTTTCTTGACATGGGTTTCCACTGCACGAGAGGTTGGATGCAACATACCGACGGACCGTAACGCACGGACGCGAAACGCTGTGCAAACCCAGCTTGGTCGCAAGGGCCGCCGGGCAACGGGCGGACTCCTGCGGTAGCCCTTCGCGTCTAGCGCGAGTCCAGTGATCAGAAAGGGCACGACGGTAATGGATGCTCCAAGTCTCTCAATAAACGTAGGCGGGGGGGCATCGCGT